AGGTTTGAATCCCACCCACTAACCAGCTGGGTGGCCTTGGAAAAATTACTTGCTCGCTCTGTGTCTTGATTCCTTCATTTGTAAAATGAACCCTCATTTGTAAAAAGAAGGATCGTGGTGAATACTAAATGAGAGAATACATGTTAAGTATGAGGAGCAGGGCCTAGAAAATAGCACATGCTCAATGAATGGTAGATGGTATTATTTCATTCTTTTATCTCTATCTCTACAAGAGAGAGAAGGGCAGGGGTGATGGCCATCTTATTTACGAGCAGATTCTCAGCACGTAGAGCTGGCATATTGAAGGGGCTCTCTGGAGCTGCTGAATGAGGGAATGCCCCAAGCCCCCTTCCTCTGCCAGGCAGCTGAGATCAGGAAGGGTCACAACCCACCCTAGGCCTGAGACAAATGGCCAGCAGGGCCCCTATGGAGCTGCCAAACTAGGAACCCAGTGAGCCGAACCCTCACTGACTCATGGCATGGAAAGATGGGAGGGTTTTGTATTCATGGTGCTCGGACAGAATTAGGATACCCATGAGACTTGCCACCTCTGCCACCACAACCATGGGCATTGTTTAACTAACATAATAGCAGGAGATGGGGTTCATTGTGGGGGGGCTTTGGGCTTCTGTCCTTGGTGCTGAAATATCCTGCTTTTTCCTTTTATACAGGGTTTCTCCTTAGTTACGCGGGTGCCCTACATGTAACTATACCAATTCGCAGGAGAGATAGAATTTTTAATTTTCTAGCTTGGTAAAGGAAAAATGTTAAGCATCTTGGTGAGCATTTATGGAGCACTTACTATGTGGTGAGCACTTTGCTAAGCCCTCTCCATCTATCATCTCATTTAAACCTTCACACCAGCCGAAACCGGTTTGGCTCAGTGGATAGAGCATCGGCCTGCGGACTGAAGGGTCCCAGGTTCGATTCCGGTCAGGGGCATGTACCTGGGTTGCGGGCACATCCCCAGTAGGAGATGTGCAGGAGGCAGCTGATCGATGTTTCTCTCTCATCGATGTTTCTAGCTCTCTATCTCTCTCCCTTCCTCTCTGTAAAAACTCAATAAAATATATTTAAAAAATAAAAATAAAAAATAAACCTTCACACCAACTCTGTCAGGGCAGCTATTATGATGATCACCATCTTCCACATGAGAAACTGAGCCGTCTCATGTTCAGGTCGCCCAAGGTTAGTGCAGATGCAGGACTTGAATCAGATATTCTGGCTCCAGTGCCCGGAGCTTGACCCCCGCATTATCATGTGGCTGTCATGAGGGAGCCCATTCACATGGCTGGCTGACTTCAGACATTGTGGCTTTCATGCTTTGTCCCATGGCTTTATTTTTTAACTAAAATGCTTAGGTTGTACTTATGCTAAAGGAGTAATCTGGGTTCAGTGACAGATCACTGGGCAGGAAAAGCGGAGGAGGGGAGATTTTTCCCCCAGGCTGTGTGACTTTGGGTGACTTTGGCTCATCCATCCCTCTGGGTCTCCGTGTGTCTGTGTCTGTGTGTTTAATCTGTAGAATTAGTTATATTAGCTCATTGCTAAGATCCCTTCGTGCTCAAACACGCTGTAAAATCCGAGGGGCAGAGTTCCTCCTTTGAGAACTCATTACAGGACAAGACAGTTCTGGAATAATTTCATACTCAATGACAATGCTGAGATTGCAGCAAGGGAATTAACTGAGTTGAGGGGCTTCTTCATTGCCTGCCTTTTCAGAGATCATTCCCCAAGGCTACCGATGCTTTCTTAACTGAATTCTTCTCCTAGGGGCGAGAATCAGGGCCCCTCCTCACCTCCCATCTGGTTTCCTTGATGCTCAGCCGAGTAGACTGGGTACCTGTGACATCCCAGTAAAACCCTATTTAGCTATGACTGTAGTTTTCTGTAGTTCCACCTATTGACCCAGTTGCCCCAGGTAACCAAGTCAGTGGGAAATGAAACTATAGGGAGGAGAGCGTCATTAGTCACCTGCAGTGTCTTGGGCCCATTGCTGCAAATCAATCTGCCCTCCTTGAGAACCATGCTTACTGGTGAGCCTGCATCTAGGAAAAGGCACATCCAGGAGTTTACTGACTTACCTTGATTTCCAACCTTGACCTTTCCAAGCTATGGTTAATGCACAGGGCAGGAAACAAGGCAAGTCACTTCCTAAGCAGCTGATTCCTTTCACCTGCTAGATACCCAGACCCTGGGTCTCTGCCACCTTCTCTGCCACCTTCTCCCAGCCCAGACCCAGGTCCCAGTAGCGCCTCTCAACCCAGGAACTTTTTCTGAAACCTTGGGAACAGTTGTCTCTATTTTTACTCATAATTAACCAAAGCATGTGTTTGCAGCTTATCAGTTTGGGAATGCAGTAAATACAGCAACCAATCTCCCAACCCCATGAATATTTCATTTTGGAGATTACTGCATAAATATTGTATTTGGATATTATGGTCTGGGACATCACATTAAAATTGCAAGGCGATGCTATTATCCCATATAATGGAACATAAAATTACAACGCTGGTCCATGGAAAGAAAAATTTTGCAAGTCCTCGCACCTGGATACCTTTTATTTCTCTCTCTGGGTTAGTCTTGGTTACCATGTAAGTTTTGATATAAATTATGTGAAATTTAAAGTGTTATGCATGGTTAAATGCACCAACTGTATATTATTGTATAAGTTAGCATCAACCAGAGTCGAGATAGGATTTTATTTTCCTAAACTCAGGGCTCCTTTTAATGAACTGGTTAAATCCAAGTTTTGTGTGATATGGCGAGTATAATGAAAAACCTCCACCAGGTCACATCCCCCAAAGAGAACCCTAATCCTTCGTCCATGTGAGGCCAAACTTTGATTTGGCACGTGGAAAGATGTGTTAGAGAAAGAACAAGACCAGAGATGTTGGATACCTCGGTCTTCTGGTTGGCTGCTGTCCTTCATGTGTCTCTCTGTGTCCTCAGAAAGCTGGCAACTTCCCCTGGGCTCCCATGTAATGTGGCCTCCCTCCCACTTCTTTCTGTGTTACCTCCACTGTCAGACACCTCTATACTCATGGTGATAAGAGGCTGCCAGCCAGCTCTAGGCTTTCATTCTCTCAGCTAAGAATCCCATAGAAGGCTCTTCCATCCTGGTAAATTCAGCAAAAACTCCAGGACCCAATCTCAAAACCAGCTTGAATCTCTCACCCATTCCTGAACCAATATGGCAGCCAAGCAGATGGAACTGACCAGCCTGGGTTATGTTCAGCCCCTGGTGTTAGGGTTAGGTGCAAACCAAAGTTGAAGATTAGGGACTGTCCAAAGTACAGTGGAGATGTGGTTCCCAGAAAACTGAGGAACGGATGCTGGATAGACAGAAACAAGGAATGAAGCACCAGTATGTGCTACAGTGTGAGTGAACCTTGAAAACATTATGGTAAGTGGAAGAAGTCAAACAAGAAGACCAACAGCCCTGGCTGGTGTGGCTCAGCTGGTTGAGCATCCTCCCATGCACCTAAAGGTCACCGGTTTGATTCCCGGTCAGGGCACATGCCCAAGTTGTGGGTTTGGTCCCTGGTCAGAGTGCGTGTGGGAGGCAACCAATTGATGTTTCTCTCTTTCTCCCTTTCCCTTTCTCTCGCTCTAAGATCAATAAAAGCGTATTTATTAAAAAGACCAACATATTATAGGATTCCTTCTATATGAAATATCCAAAATGGGTAATTCGTAGAGAAAGAAAACAGTTTGGTGGTTGCCAAGGGCTAAGGGGTACGGGGCATGGGTCTGCTTATGGGCATAGGGTCTCCTTTGGAGTGATGGAATATTGTGAAACTAGATAGAGGTGATGGTTGCACAACATTGTGAATGAACTCCATGCCACTGAACTGTACACTTTAAAGCGGGTGACTATGTTGTAGAGCTGGAGGAGCACGGGATCCCTGAGTGGGAGGCCTCTAGACTAAGCTCCCAACTGGGTAACTAGCCCCTGAGGAGCAGGGATCATCCTTACTCCTCCTTGCCCTGCACAGGGCCAGGACCGTGCCTGGCACATAGTAAGTGTGCAGTTAATGCTCACCATAAATGCATAGAGTTTGGGCCAGAGGCTGGGTTCTTGCTCTGTCCATTGTCCCCACACACCTGTATTACCAGCTCTTCGACCATTGCTTTCTGCATTTACAAAACAGGAAGTGCCAGAGCTGCCAGCCAGCCTTGTAAAATCCCAAATATTTATGTTTTATGCTTTCAAGCAGTTGTTCATCTGAGGTTCATAGATGGAGTTCTGAGGGCCCATGACGTTGAATGGGAGGAAAACGATGTTTATTTTCACTGAAATCTACCTAAATATAGAGACCAAACCACAGTAGTGTGAGCAGTAACTGTTAAGAGTCACATATTTTCATATCACATAGTAGCTGATGAGTCTAAGTGTCATTTACCTTCACCACTTCCTCACATTTACAATAGTTATTAGACCTGCCACAAGATCTTGTGTGTCGAGAAAGAAACACAGCACATGTAATTATCATAAATTCGATGTTTTAAGAAATACTTTGTAATCCTGTATTTAATGTGTGAATCAAAAAGCACCAGAATTACTATGTCATAAACTTTCTGTTTTTTAAATACTTTGTAATTCTGTGTGTTATGATTTAAGAACATGTTTCTAGGATGAGTGTCCACAGGCTGTGTTCACTAAGTTACCAAGGCACCCATGGCATGAAAAGATGATTTCAGAGTTCTCTAAAGAGGAAGTAGATGTGCTGGATGATCATTGCTATCTAATTGTGCTCCACAAGTGCCCTACACTCTCTGAGTTTCAGTGTCCTCATCTGTAAAATGGGTATAATAATAGTACCCGCCTCAGAGGGGTAGAGTGACCTGTCTCTCCGTGAAAGCCAAGGGACAGCCCTGGCTCGGTGCCTGGCACACAGTCAGTGCTGCATAAATGCTTTGACCGCTGGGATTGTGCCATCTCATTTGGACACCGGGTGGAGGCACCTTTGGGCTAATCACTTCTTTGTGTCTTTCAGGTTCATCCGGAAACAGGGCCTGGACCGGCTCTTCCTGGAGTGTGACGCCCACATGTGGCGCCTGGGGGACCGGCGGATCCCAGAGGGCATTGCCGTGGATGGCGGCTCTGATTGGTTCCTGCTGAACCGCAAGTTTGTGGAGTATGTGACGTTCTCCACAGACGATCTGGTGACTAAAATGAAGCAATTCTACTCCTACACCCTGCTTCCTGCCGAGGTGAGTGTCCCAGAAAAAAATCCCCCAGAATGGCCGGGGCTGGCTCTAGCTCTAGCATGTAGAGCAAAGCGGATGCTGAATTTTTGCTGATTTTTTGGTAAAGCAATGCTGAATCCAATACAGAGCCCTCCAAACAACCAGATGAGGATGGAGAGCGGCATTGACTGCCAGGGACCTAGTTGCAATGGCAGGGACCCCGGTCCCCTCCAGTCTATGGACACAGCACAGTGCTGCCACCAGCAGTCCACAGTGTCTTCATGCAAAGTGGAAAAGCCATCCTTTTCTTAAGACACTTGGCTTGCATGGGTCCTAAAATAATCACATACTAATTTTATATAGAATAAGGCACTTACTGCCATTTTCTAGAAAACTGTTACTTAAAAAATGACAAGCCTCTGAGTGTTGACCTGCTGTGTTGATGGCAGCCCCTCACTCCAGAGTGGAGCAGTGTGGAATCCGCACATCTGTGCAGGCCGGCCCTTTCAGGACACACCCACATCAGTGCTGCAGTCACCAATCCTGTAACAGCTTTCTCAACCAAGATTCCCTCTTCTGATTTTGAATATTGTTCTTTCAATTCCTGACAGACAGACACTAGTGTTGGCCTGATGGGTCAGACAAGAAATCGCAGTGGTCCCAAAGACAACAGCGGGGCCTGTGCCAGGTGCACCGGCCCCTGCACTGACAACGTGCCTGGGACTCAGCACTTCCCGTGGCTTTCGGAAGTATTTGAAAAGCTCGGGAGTCCGTCACCACTTTTCAGACTCCAGGGTGGGAAGCTGACTTAGTTTGGGCTGCAAAAAACAATAGGGTAGGTGGCTTACAGACAACAGAAATGTACTTCTCACCGTTCTGGAGGCAAGGTGGCCCAGGTAGAGTGCCAGCATGACCGGGGGAGGGCCCTCTTCAGGGTCGCAGACTGCCTGCGGACAGTTCTCACTGTGCTCTCACAGGACCGAAGGGATCACGGATCTTTCTGGGCCCCTTTTTATAAGGGCACTAATCCCCATTCATGAGGGCTCCACCCTCATCTCCTAGTCAGCTTCCAAAGGCCCCACCTTGTAACATCACATTGGGGGTTACGATTTCCACCTGTGAATGTTGGGGCGACACAGACACCTTTGAATGTTGGAAGACTGCAGGCTGTTCTGAAACACTCCATCTGGAGTGTGGCCACTGATGTGCCAGCAGCCTCTTCATCAGACCCGGGCTGAGAGAGTCCAGGTTAAGCTCCCTGACCTCCAGCTCCTAATTTCCTCCTTCAGAAAACTCCAGAGCTGGTTCTGTTTCCGAGGAGCCCGTGACACCTCCCACGAGTGGCCCACCATTCCTTCCGGCCTGTGCCCCCTCTCAGCACCACTGGGGTTATGTGTTTCTAGTCCAGACAAGACAGTGCATCTCATCTGATAGTTTCCATGTTTCTCACCAACATTTGGGGCGGTGGCAAGCTCTGGGTAGGGCCGGCTGCCCGCTTCACTCCAGAGAGATGATGGGCTTCTTGTCACCGGGCCAGGTTTTGCTATTCTGCACACATGTTAAGTAATCAGCTTTTAATCCTATTTCAGCAAAACACCACCTTTTCTCTCAATTCCGATAACCTCCTCATCCATTATCTTGAGGAGACTTTCGGTATCGTTATGAAAGGACACAGGGCAGCTGGTAATTGGGTGCTTTTCCCCACCGCTTGATGGAGAATATGGGCCTCTGTGGGCTTGGAGACAACTCAAGCTTAAAACCCAAGTTCACGGACATGTCATTTAGCATCACAGGAAGGTCAGCCGGGGGCGGAGGGGGAGTGGAGCCTCATTGTGCCCACCCACCCTTTGAGAAGAGACTGTTTGAGGCTTTGTTTCTTTTCATCAAGATGCTGATCCTGGAACTGGCTCTCTGTCCATCCCTGTCCCAGTACACACAGGCATGTGACACTTCAGGTCCCTGTTAGACCCCCTCCTCCATTCCAGCATCTCCGCCTTACCCTCCCTTCTCTCTCTCTCTTTCTCTCTCTCTCTCCTTCCCTCCCTGTCTCTCTCTCTGTCTTTCAGTCTCTGTCTCTCTGCATCTCTAACCATATCTCTCCTCTCCAGTCTCTCTTTTCACTCTCAACATTGCCTCTTTTGCAGGTTCCTAGGAGAGGTGGGCCAAGAGTCAGGATTTGGGGAAAGCAATGGTGCCTGGTTCAGCACCATGGAGAGCAGGCAGCCCCACCCTTCACCGGCCTGTGTTGTAGTCACCTACTCCAGCAGCTAAGTCAGGAGGGCTCCCTGGGGCCTGATGCACCCATGAATCTGACCTCCCTTACCCAGGGGTGAAATTCCAGAGCACTGGTCTTTCTTCTCAAGATATTTCAGAGCTGAATCCCTTTGTTCTCAGTCCTGGCTATTTGCAAAGCAAGAGCCTAAGGGCCCAGGTTTTCTGAATAATTGTCCCCATGTTTTCCTCTGGTCCCCATGTGTTGACATATCCCGAGGGGCTTTTCCTGTCTGCTGAGCAGACGGAAGATGTCCTGGTTGATAAGAGATATCTTGAAATCGGGCTTTAGACTGCTGGGGCAAGGTCATTAGAGGAACACTCAGGACATTAGACTTCTGAGCAGAATTCAGCTAATCTGGGCGAAACATCCAGTGAACCCTGAGTAGGACCAGACCGGGACTGACCCTTTGACAGAAAGAACAGATGAGTCTCCAAGAGAGCCCCTTCACAGGCAGGGGGTCCCAGGGAAGGACCCCACCCGGCCCATTCGAGGAAGGCAGGAAGCGGTCTCAGGCTGGTCCCTCTCTCCCCTGCAGTCCTTCTTCCACACGGTCCTGGAGAACAGCCCCCACTGCGACACTATGGTGGACAACAACCTGCGCATCACCAACTGGAACCGCAAGCTGGGCTGCAAGTGCCAGTACAAGCACATCGTGGACTGGTGCGGCTGCTCCCCCAACGACTTCAAGCCGCAGGACTTCCACCGCTTCCAGGTGAGCCCACGGTGCCCTGCAGCCCCCACACCATGCCTCCCAGCATCCTCTGCAGGCAACCAAGGCCAGGCCTGTTGATCATCTCACCCCCCAGTTTTCAACCCTGCCTATTGATGATAATAATGACAACATCAACAGTAGCCAACATTTTTTAATGACTCCAGACCAGGGCAATTCTAACCACTTTGTCTGTCTTGATTCATTAACCCTACAACAACCTTATCAGGTAGATAGATAGATAGATAGATAGATAATTAAAATTATTATTATTATTCTATTTTCTAAATAGGTAAACCGAGGCATAGAAAGATCAAAAACCTTATCCAAGGTGATATGACCACACGTATCTGTTTCCAAAGGCCATATTTGTATCCATTTCTTTATATTGCCTTTTAACCAGAATCCCCTGAAAACATTTGCCTGAGTACAAACTTGGGTATATCCGTGGCAGAGTTTGTCACCCTCAGCACTAGTAACACTGTGGCTGGATAGCCCAGGCTGTGGGCTGTCCTGTGCACTGCAGGCCATTGAGCAGCATCCCTGGCCCTCCCCACTGGCTGCAGGTAGCACACTGCAGTGTGACCACCAGAAATGTCTTCAGGCATCGCCACACAGCACTGCGGGCAAACCACTATCTCCAGTGAGGTCCAGGAATGTTTAATAGATTACACCTCGGGGAAGTTCTGATGAGCAGCCAGGTTTGGAAACCAGCACAATCTGTGAACTGGAAGGAGTAACAGGAGGCAGAAGCGTTACTGTCCTCACAGGTATCTCTGCGTGGCCTCCTTTACAGTGGTGGGGAGAGCAGAGGCAGAGGGCGATACATGCTCCGTCTGCTTCCCATGAGCCCCCAGACCCATCCCGAATGGCACCCTGTTTCCATCCTGTGTGAGCACCCTCCCGCTCACCATGCTTGACCCCAACTGCAGAAGGCACAGACAGGAGGCAACAAAATGGTTAAACACGTCACTCTGAGGTCACTGGAGCTATCACGTGGAGATGGTATGCTGCTGCCCAAACCGCTAACCGAGGGGCCCCTGCTGACTCACTGGCATATAACTGAGCTCGCATGGGGCTTCAGTCTCTAGCCTGGCTCCTCGGTGTGTGGTCCTGGACCCGCAGCATCAGCGTCGCCCGGGAGAGGGTGAGAAATGCATTGCATAGCGTGCGGCTTCAGACCTGCTGAATCAGAATGTGCACGTGAACGAGATCCTCAGGGGGCTGGGAGGCTCTATACGTTTGGGCACAGGAGGTGGGATCTGCTCTCTGCCAGGCTGTGTGCCAGGCCCCCATGGGCATTTCATTGGCTTCCCTGGGGCAGACATCATCCCCATTGTGCAGGGGGGAAACTGAGGCACCGATGGGCAAACTTACTTGTCCACAGACACACGTAAGGAGTGGTAGGGCTGAAGGTCCCACCCAGGTGTTCCCGGGTCCAGCCCCCGGCTTTTTGCACCCGCCCCCGCTGCCTTCCTGGCTTTGTGTCTGCACAGGTGCAGCATACACAGCAGGTTTCACCCCTCAAGGTTTCCATTCCCTCAAGGTCCCCACCTAATGTCTTTTGCCCCTGTAAGTGGTTGCTGCAATAGTTTCTAGACCTTTTTTTTTTTTTTTTTTTGGTGGCAGATTGAGAGCTACCCGGGGACCTCCCCAAGCCCATGTTAATTTGGGCATAAACTTGGGTGACATTTTCGCTCCATTGTCCATGTAGAAAGGATCTGCTGAGCAGCAAGAGGGCTGCAGGGGGAATATTTGACCTATTCAAAAGGAAAAAAAGAATCCCCACTTTTTAGAGGATCCATCGTTGTCCTCACACAAAGGACCTCATCAAGTAGATAAAGTCCATGGTGGTTCCTGGGAGCGCGCCCTCCCAGCCCGCTTGCTCTCGAGCGGCAGCATCTGTACTCCAGGCCCAGCATCCCGCGGACCGCGGTCTCTGATAAAGACTGACCAGCACAGAGACAGTGCCCTGTGCTCACAGCTCTTTCTTCCATAGTAAATAGAGATCAAGAATATCCCCCAACATCTAGAATCAAGAAACTGCTGCCTATAAGGAACTCAGAGTCCTTGTTCAAAGAACTCCAAGGAAGAGGATGATAAATATAGAAACATGCCCTTTTAGAAAATCCAGCTATGATCAAAGAATCGTGGATGAGGAAAGAAGGCTGCCCTGCCACCGAATTTGATTTTCTGCACCGAGAAAACCAAGACTTAGAAGCCCCTGGAAGCAGGCTCAGGCCAGGGGGATGGGAGGGGAGTGTTAATAGTTACATAGTAATAGCAGCTCACACTGTGTGCTGGACTTCGTGCTAAGTGCCCATATTATACCCATTTTAAGGATGAGGAAGCTGAGGTCCTGGGTGACTTGCCCAGAGGCATATACAGCTAGAAAGTAGCAGAGTGAGGATTTGAACTGAACTGGCCACAGAGGCAGGACGTCCCAAGGGTTCATGAAGCAGAGAAGTGATGGGATGTTCAGAAAAATACGAAAGGTTTTTGTGATCAGGAGCATCCAGTTTACTCAGTTAGCAGCGGGGTCCCAGGATGGTGCCGGAGAAAGAGCTTGGGTTTGAGGAGCATCAGATTCAGGTTCAAATCTTATGACTGTGTGAGTTTGTACGTATCACTTCCCCTCCCTAAGTTTCCTCATCTGTAAAATGGGAATCGGAATACCCACTTTGCCGAGTTGTTGGGGGGATTTGAGGTGATGACATAACTGCAGTGCTTGGTAATTATTGCCATGATTGTTGCTGTTTATTCACAGCAGCAAAAACAGTGCTAGACCCACACTTAGCTCAATAATAACACTAGACCATAAGCTCCTCAAGGGAGTGGCTATGTTTGAATTGTTTCCATAGCCCTAGACCGGGGTCAGCAAACCAATCTGGGTCAAATCCAGCCCACTGCCTGCTTTTGTCAGTTCTTTTGTAACACCCATTCACCTGCTATTATGCCCATGGCTACCTTCACCCTACAACAGCAGCGTTGAATACTTACAAAGCTAGACATAGTTATTATCTAGCCCTTTACTGAAAAAAAATTGGTTGATCCCCACCCAGACCATAGTATAAGATTTGATAGATAACAGGTACTCAGTAGTTTATTTCTTTAATCCTGGACCCTGTATTTTAATCCTGACTCTGTCATTACCTTGCTATGTGACCTTAGATCAGTCCCTGTTCCTCCCTGGGCCTCAGTCTCCTTGACAATTTGGCCTACATAAATGGTCTTCAAATCTGCATCATAACCACCAGGGGAGCATTTTGGGATACAGATTCCTAAACCTCATCTCTGGAGATGCTGCCTCTGCTGTTATGCCCAGGAGACGATAGGAGTGGTGGGGACTGTGGTGAGCAGAAGAAGCCATGCCCGTCTAACGGGACAGCTGCTTTCCAGCTTTAAGCAGTTGTTACCCTGCAGAAACAGGAGCCTGGGGTTGCTGGATCTATTTCTGTTTACAGGGAAGCCAAGAATTGTTTCTGTGAAGTCTTCTACTTTTTAAATATTGCCAGCTAATTCAATTTTAAAACACTCTGCTGGACAATTAAAATATATCTGTAGGCTGTATTTGCCCTAGACCTTCAGTTAAATGGTTTTGGAGACCCATCCCAGCTGTGAACACTGGGGTGTGATTTATTTAACCAACATTTAACAAACATGATGCTTCCCAGGCGCCCATCATTGCTCCAAATGCCTTACCAACATTAACTCATTCCATCCTAACACCCTTAGTATTGTCTTCATTTAACAGAAGAGGACACCGAGAACAGAGGCAGGCAGGCTGGCTGCAGAGCCCTGCTCCCACCTCCCCACACCCATCCTACCTGCTGACGCTCATCTTTTTATTCCTTGAGCACAGCAGACAGCCCGGCCCACCTTCTTTGCCCGAAAGTTCGAAGCCGTGGTGAATCAGGAGATCATCGGGCAGCTGGACTATTACCTGTACGGGAACTACCCCGCAGGCACCCCTGGGCTCCGCTCCTACTGGGAGAACGTCTATGATGAGCCTGATGGCATCCACAGCCTCAGCGACGTGACGCTCACCTTGTACCACTCCTTCGCCCGCCTGGGCCTCCGTAGGGCTGAGACGTCGCTGCACACTGATGGGGAGAACAGCTGCAGGTGAGCCAGGTTGGCAAGGCGAGGAGAGATGGGGTGGAGGAGGGACAGGGAGGGGGCCAGGGAGGAGGGTGCAGACCTTCCTCTGTTAGGGGCCATGTGCTTCTCCCTCGCTTCCTTTGCCTAAAAAGCACCTACACAACCATCCCAGCGCTTAGAGCATGTCCTGTCTACCCTCCACCCTGTCTAAGCCAGTGGTTCTCAACCTTCCTAATGCCGCGACCCTTTAATACAGTTCCTCATGTTGTGGTGACCCCCAACCATAAAATTATTTTCGTTGCTACTTCATAACTGTAATTTAGCTACTGTAAACAATATGTAATTATATATGTGTTTTCCGATGGTCTTAGGCGACCCCTGTGAAAGGGTCGTTCGACCCCCAAAGGGGTCGCGACCCACAGGTTGAGAACCATTGGTCTAAGCCAGTGGTCGGCAAACTCATTAGTCAACAGAGCCAAATATCAACAGTACAACGATTGAAATTTCTTTTGAGAGCCAAATTTTTTAAACTGAAACTATACAGGTAGGTACATTGTTATTAACTTAATTAGGGTACTCCTAAGGCTTAGGAAGAGCCACACTCAAGGGGCCAAAGAGCCGCATGTGGCTGGCGAGCCACAGTTTGCCGACCACGGGTCTAAGCCATCACCAGAATTTTACTTTTTCTGAGTACCAGATCTAATGCTTACCCAATTATTTCCTTCCAGTGGACTCATTCTTTTATGTTAAGCATATGTGGTATTTTAAAGGGAAGCTCTATGTCATCCTATTACATAGTTGTATTTGTCTTAAATGGAAGGTAACCATGGAAATACAGAACCTTTTTTTTTTTATTGTGGAAAATGTCAAATATATTCAAAATAGAGAAGAGAGTGAAACCCCATGCTCCCACCACCCAGCTCTCCCGTGACCAGCTCCGGGCCAATCCCGTGTCACGGCCCCTCCTCCCAGATCGGTCTGATGGAGGCACATCCCTTACATCACATCACCTCAGCCATAAATATTTTAATGTATGTCTCCGAAAAGAAAGACTCCATTTTCAAACATAACCATGCTATCATTACCACTCCTAAACATATGACCAAAGGCATCAGCAAGATGCAGAACTATTGTTTAAAGCTCTCGGGTACCCCTGAGAATCATCCACCTCACCTGCCACTAGCAGGTGCAGGTTGACACTTGAGGAAAGAGTGTTCTAGAATGTATGGAAAGCAGAGGGGAAGGTAGGGAAATAATTCCACAGAATCCCCTCCCCTCCGCTGTCTTTCCCTAAGCCAAGCAGCCCTTTTGTTGGCTTGTCTTCCTTTCTCTAGCAATGTGCATTGCAGAAATTCACATACTTGCAACAAGAGTTTGGAGCCCTGTTATATTCCTGATCGGCATTATAATATTAGCCCCTCTCCCGCTGCTCTGCAGCTTCCTTCATGCTAATGATCCTTTTTAATGCCGCTGCTGTTCCAAAGAGCAGAAACTCGGGAGTCTGCTTAATCCAGCCCTTTCCTGTTGCTATTGTCAGTAATGGGCCATTGTAAATAACGCCCTGATGACTCTCTTCTTTGCAGAAAGCCTCTTTCTTTCCTTCTTTTTTTTTTTTTTTTGGTTATTTTTTTAGGTTGGATTTTCAAAAGTGCCTCTAATCACTCTCCTCTTTCTTATTCTCCCTTCTCCTTCTCCCACCTCCCTCTTTTAAAGCAAAAAAATAAAAAGTTTAACATTAGTCTCTCTCCTCTGAGGCTCCTCCTATGTACCCCTCCTTGCCTAGCTCTTCCCTCTTCTCTGGAACTATTGCCTAAATCCTGAACACACGGGAAGGTTTCCTGGCTGGGACTGCCTGCCTGGCCATCTGGGTTCCTGCAGGGCTGCCACAGTTTATTCTTATCTCCTCATGGCCTCAGCCTCGATCCTCTTCCTGTGGGTTCTTAGTTTAAGGAAAGCCCAGTGTGGGTCGGGAACCAGGACCTACAGATTGAACTCAACTTTTATTTACTACCTGTTGGCCTTGGACAAGTGATTGACCTCTCTGACCCGCAGTTTCCTCATCTGTAAAATGGGAAGAATAATAAGCCTTACAGCATAAGGTGTTATGAGGTTTAAAGGAGATAATCCTCAAAAGTGACCTTCTCACTTACGTGTTATTATTATTATCCCCGTTTTTAACCATGTTTTACTTACAGAGTGCTTAGTAAATGTTCATGCCATTATTATTAAGCTGCCAACATCAACAGGGAGCCTACTGTGTGAGCTACACCCTCCTTAACCAGTTACACGAGCTGCTCATTGCGCCCTCTGTGCTTTCCTTTGCTTACCGCCCCCGCTGTCCCCACACAGCCAACCCTCTCCCAGTCTCCAAGGGCCATCTCAGGCGCCACATCCTCTGTGAAGCTTGCTGAGAGCTCCCCCTGATAGCCCATCCCCTCCCTCTCCCAAGCTGAAAGTAGCTCAGACTCACTTCCAACCCCTACCCACCCACCCCCACCCTCCCATTGCATGTAGCAGCAGTACTTTGGGTCAAGGTCAACGGTGAAGGTCTTCTGCCCCTGCTAGTCTGGGCGCAGAACCCTTGCTCACAGAACCACAGTACAAATCCCCAGCACAGAACACAGTGCCACTCCTGGAAGCGGAATATTATTCAAAAATCGTCTTAATCCCAGGCTTCTTAGAATTTATAAAGTAAATAATCTTATAGGAAATTCTAGAAGACACTCCCAAACAAATCCTAGGACTTGTTTGGGGATTAAGCGGGCCATCAAGGTGCCCCGGGCCTGGAATCGTTTGACTTCTCGCTCATTTTTTTTTTATCACACTAGAGCCACTGTGCCTTGCTGTGGGCAAAGCCAATATATTTATGAATATGAGCCTGAACGTTAATCAGGACAAAGGACCCTTATCCCAAAAGGCAGTGGAGAGTAAATTCCTACCCCCAGGGTATCTGGGGAAACAGCACGTGAGAACTTTATTTCAAGAGTCTCATTTTCTTTGGGCACTTCATGCAAATTGTGTCTTTCCAGTCTGCGGGATAACCTTTCATAAAAATAATGTTTATTGATTTTTTTCATTATAAAATAACTCATGCTTGTTGCAGAAATTTTCAAAATGGCAGATTGAGAGCACAAGAAAATAAAGTTTGCTTGTGAGTCACCCTCCAGAGATAAAGATGTCAGGATTTCATTACACGTCCTCAAATTCAAATGCCCTCCTGGGCCACGCATGTAACGCGTGGCAGCCAGTGCTGGCTGGCCCCTCAGCACGGGCTCACCGTGCCAGCCGAGACCGCCCGGGGCCCCGTGCTGAACCCCAGCACGTTCCTGTCCAATGGGCATGTAGCCATTGAACTGCCAGCCATTTTTCAAGACAAATCAGAAATGTAGATGTTTGTGAGTCTCCTAATTTTTTCAGTGCCCACTTATTTCAGTAAGAAAAGACAAAAACCCACCTTTGGGTGAGATGAATGCATCTGTGGCATCCTTTAGGTTCTGTTGTACTGCATCTATTGAAAACAAACTCCCTTCTTAGTTTTAGTTAATTATCATACACAGTCAAGACAACTACCGGGAGGTTTTGTGCTCAGTCCTGGGTTCCACGTATCCTAGATGTGCCTTAGAAGCAAAGCGTTCAAGAGAAAATCCTTCTAGAATTTTCTCTCAATCAACAAGTATTGTTTGAAGCATCTACCATGTGTCAGGCTCTGTGCTAGGCACTGGGCACTCAGCCATGACCCAGACCAACCAGGCCCCCGTGTTCAAGGCCCTCCCGTTCTAGTGTGAAGACAGACTGTGCCTAAGCACTGGTACACAAGAACGAAGGATCAGTAGGGATAAATGCTCTGCTCAGAATGAAGGTAAAGTCACATGATGGCAACGAGTTGGTGACTAAGAGTCAGCAGTCAAGGAAGATCTCTCAGAAGTAGTGACATTGAAGCAAGATGATAAGACAGAGCCAGCCATGCAACCTAAGAGGAGAAGAGCAGTCCCAGCACAGAGAATATCCTGTGCAAAGGCCCTGAGGTGGAAACCAGCTTGCTGTGGTCAAGAATCCAAAATAATGTCTATGTAGAATCTAAAACAAGGTCCATATGGATAGAAGGTGGAGGTTTGGGGCAGAAGGAAACAAAATGAGGCTAAAGAGGCAGGGCTTTGTGGGCCAGGTGAAGAGTTTGGATTTCATCGTAAGCATTAAGCAGAGCCACTTGTGGTATTTAAGCAGAGACGGTGGGTATGGCTGTTATGAGGGTAAAGTGGACGGAAGTAGGAGGGAGACAAGGAAGCTCCTGCGAAGATCCAGGGGAGGCAATGGTGGCCTGGACCAGGATGCTGGCCGTAGCAGCTGGATTCAGGCGGAGACAGCAGGGTTTCTTGATAAAAGAGAGGGAAAGCAGGCAGTCAGACTTGGTTTCTAGAGTGCTTGCCCACTGCTCATTTACTTGACCCCTTAGCAGCACCCCTGTCTGGACCTCTCCCTTCTGGAAACTCTTGTTTTCACTCCCATGCCAACAAGCTCTCCTGTTCTTCTCCCACCATCACTGACCCAACCACCTTGCAGAACAAACATTGACAGTGTATTACATAGCTCCTGCCATAATGCCGCGTAACAAACAAGCCCCAAGTCAGTGTTTTGAAGTGATAAGCATTGACATTGAGCTCAAGTTCTCAGGTTCCTGGTCTCAGCTGGCATCTCTCCTGAATCTGCAGCTGCTGCAGGTCGGGAGTAGGGCTCTGTTGTTCTTGGCTGGGGTGGCTCTGTGTGCCCCAAATGTCTCGACCTCCAGCAGGTAGCCCAGGCATGCTCCCAGTTGCCCTAGGGGTCAATCTTTGCTTGCTTGCTTTCAAGAAATCCTGCTGTCTCCACCTGAATCCATCCTCCACCTCAGTCCACCTCTGCACTGCCAGCTTCCGGTCCAGGCCACCATCGTGCCTTCCCTGGGCCTCTGCAGGAGCTTCCTTACCTGTCTCCCTCCTGCTTTTGTCCATGACCTTATAACAGCCACATCCAGCGCCCCTGCTTGAGTACCACAAGTGGCTCTGCTTAATGCTTGTGATTGGGATCCTCTCTGCTCCACAAAGGCATGCTCTCATCACAGAAGAGCAAGAGAGGAAATGTGCAAGGCTTCTTGGGGCCCTGGCTGGGAGCTGGCATGACACCTCAGGTCCAGGCAGGTCGGGAGTGGGGAAATAGACTCTGCCTCTTCAGGGCAAGGAACCCTGCGACGCCACATGGGAGAGAGCAAGGAGACAGGGAGGTGAAGGATTGGAGGCACTGATGCCAGCAGCCACGACTCTGTCATGACTATGCCTCCAGTACAGTCACCACTGGCCACCAGTGGGTATCTGAGATTAAATCAATGAAAGTGAATGAAATAAAAAATTCAGTTCCTCCGCCGCAGCAGCCACATTCACGTGCTCGGTAGTCGCAGTGGCTAGTGGCTGCTGTGGTGGAGAGAGCACCACTGCAGCCCGCCTCCATCCCGGCGCAGAGCTCTCAGCACCATCCGGGGCGAGGCTTTTCTGCTCCCCAAGGCCCAGGCCCAGCGCAGACATGTGTGAGCCAATGCCCAGTGAGCAGCCTGAAGAGGGTGCCAGCTTTTCTCTCAGAGCCCCCGAGGCATCCCAGTGACCAGGCAGTGGTTTCCGGAGATGGGGAAGCACAGGAAGGCGGCTTCCCTGACGGTTGTAATTGGACATAAAGACTGAAGCTCCAGATCAGGACCGGAGGGAAGGCGGCTAAGCAGAAATGGTGATTTGGAGAACACTGTTGTTCAGGGGCCACTAGTACCCTCTGAGTGCTGTGCCATTCACACATTGCAGAGGCCAGCAGCCTTCAATTCCTCGAGTAGGAAAGAAAGCTGGGCTCATCCCAAGTCCCTCCCACCTGAGCTCCCTCCTGGGCATCTCTGCTTAGTTCCCCGGCCCCTTCCTCCCAGTGATTGTTTGTGGCTCCAAGTCAAGCATCTGAAAACAACAGTTACCTCTTCGTGTCTGAATATATGGACCTTGGATTCATTTTTAAGGATAATGCCCAGTGCCTTGACTGAGAAGGACAGTGAGAGCGTAAATCAGTACTTTTTGATAAAGTTGGACAGCAGGGCCCTTTGGAAATGAGTGAGAGAGGTTCCATTTTTGCTCAAGGATGTTTAATGCAGTATTGTCTACAATGGCCAAAAAATTAAAAACCAGTTAAACAGCCAATGATGAGGAACTTGCTCTGTAAAATACAGTATTACATACAGTGGAACATGTGTGTGTCACGTTTTCAGAGACTTTCCAGAAACGTGATAATGCCTGCGAAATACTATGAAGCGAAAGCAGGATATAACCAGTATGTATAGTATGATCTAGTATGAGGTTTATGCAAATATATGCATAGGAAATAAGGCCGAAGGGAAATGAGTCAATATGACATTGTTTGCACACTGTTGTTGCTTCCCAATACCGAGCACCAGAGAGTCAATAAATATCTGTGAATTGACATCATCTATGTAAAGAAGCCTCAAAAGTGTAGCAATTTTTATTTTCTTTCTTGTGCTTTCATACAGTCAACATGCTTTACATTTGTAATCATCTAAAAAGCTATAGTTAATAGTTGTTGAGATCATAGACACACAGGGAGAAGTTTCAGGAATATGGTCAGCATTGTATAAAATGGGGGTTATTTTAGGAACAAGACCAGCATGATGGGGGGCATCCCATTATGAGCCTGCACATCTCCAGCCCTGACCCATGAGCTCATATGAGACTGTGTGTGTGTTTCAGGTACTATCCCATGGGCCACCCAGCGTCTGTCCACCTCTACTTCCTTGCTGACCGCTTCCAGGGCTTTGTGATCAAGCATCACGCTACCAATCTGGCCGTGAGCAAACTCGAGACGCTGGAGACGTGGGTGATGCCGAAGAAAGTCTTCAAGATCGCAAGCCCACCCAGCGACTTTGGGAGGCTCCAATTTTCCGAGGTAAGAGACCGGGCATTGCCATACTTCACTGCCTTTTGCATCCCCCTTGCTGGGTCCTGTTCCATGATCTGACGCCTATAGTTGGAGATGGAGGACAAGGGGACTTAGAGAGCCCCAAAGATAGGCTCACCCTGTGCCTGCAGAAGGTCCTCCAGTCCTAAACACTGGAAATGGCATCTTCAACAGATCGGGAGAAGGACAGTGGGCCAAACCAACCTGGGCCCTTGGTCTATTTTTCATAGTAGAACTTTTATTTCTTTTAATTTTTTTTTTATTCTTGCTAGTGATTCCTCCTAACCTTGTATTAGTAGTGGACCAATATCAAACCAGTTTCCTGATGAAGTATGGGCATCAGTCCCATTTTACATACTGGAAAATTGAAGCCTGTGGAGATTCAATGATTTTCTACATCAGAACTAGGAAGTGGGAGAGCTCACACTTGAACCCAGGTCTCTTAGGCTGCAAGTCCCATGTTTAATTGTGCTTTTGTCTCCCGGTTCTTAGCACAGGATTTAGCTTAAAATAAGTACCAGATCAGTCATTGAATGGATGAGTAGATGGATGGATGATGGATGGGTGAATGAGTGGATGGATGGACGGGTGGATGGATGGATAGAAGGATGGATGGATGGACAGATGGACAGATGTGTTAGTGTTTGGACAGATGGACTGATGCATGACCTATGTAATGCAGTTTCCACCTCTCCAGTACAGCACCAGCTTTCAGTTGTTTTCCTGCCTGGGGAGATGGATTTATCCAGCACCACCCTTCTGACATCAACCCCACCTCCAGACCTGATCTACCCTCTTTCTACTTCTCCAGCCTCATCCAGTACCACTCTCCTCCCCACTCACACCTGTGTCTTTGTCAAGCAAGCCCAGTTTGTTCCCACCTCAGGCGGGGCATGTTGATCCTCCTGCCTGGAACGCTTTCTCACAGGTTTTCACCTATTTTGGGGTCATTCTGATCTAAATCCAAACAACGCACCTTCCGAGAAGCCTTCTCTGCCCACTCACGTAGGCCATGATAGCTACACTCCTCGTCCGACACATCCTTGTTTTAGTTTTTTCTTAGCATTTACCATCTAACATCATCTTGTTGGTTTCGCTAATCACTTGGTGATTGTCCGCAAGAGAGCGAAGACAATATCCCTCTCGCTCACTGCTGTAAACCAGCACATAGAAGAGTATGCATCATTTGCAGATGCGGAATAAGGTGAAGGGATTAGCCAAACAAGATATATGCATAGTCCGTGGACACAGACAACAGTGTGGTGAAGGCCAGGGGAGGCGGGTGGAGGTGGGCAAATGGGGGAAGATGGGAGACATCCGTACTAGTGTCAGCAACAATGATTTCTGAATGAATGAGTGCCTGCACTTGGCTGGTGACCTGGAAGGAAGAGGAAGCCTGATCAAGCTTGGTGAGGGTTGCCCACACAAGACTCCTCATGGGATTCCTAAAGCAGTGATTCATTCCTGGAGTTAAGCACTCCCAATGAGTTTGGCTGCTGGCTTGGGAGCCGATTTTGGAATGTGGAGAATCTTAAGGGATGGGAGTCAGTATCGCACTCACTTATATTCTCTTGCTAGTCTTTTTCCAGTCCCCAGTGGCCCACCTGGCCGACCTGTGCCCTACTGAATGGGCACTGAACAGGCACTGGTGGGAGTTTCTTGTGAAGCCATGGTTTTCAATTAAGGTTCCAAACAGATTGGCTGGATTTGAGCTGCCATGGGAACCCACTCCATAAATTACTGGCGCCAGGGGGCCGTTAGATGCTGCCCCAGTTGGAATCTGTGCTGGGGGCCCAGGCGGCCGATTGAAGACATTAACGTCCCATTAAGGAGATGGATGCCTGGTGGCTGGGCTCTCCCTGTTTATCAGCCTGCCGTTGGGGGACCGGGCCCTTCTGGCAGTGACAAATGACGCTGGCCACTCGTGGCTGGTGATTTGTGAGGGTTCCTGCGATAGCTCTGGTACCCTTGGTGTGAGAGCCACCGAGACCTCTGGCAGAGTACCAACGTGTGAGCAGGGAGCCCCGGATCTTGTATTTCGATTTTTTTTTCTAAAGCCTTAATTTTAAGGCAAACGTGAAGTTGGACAAGGAGGAGGAATAGAACTGCATGTTGAGAAGTTCTCTCTAATTGGCACAGCCCCAGGGCTATGCGTAGGGCCTGGCCCAGGGCAGGTGGGGAGCTCGGATAGAGTTCTCCATCCCGTGGATGTCCCGTGCCAGTGGCTTAGAAAGTCACCGAGTGCCCGAGATATGCGAGGTGCAGAGGAACAGCGGTCAACCAGATAGACCAGACCCTTGTAGTCATGGAAGTGCTCTCTTGTGGGGCAGCCAATGAGTGAGCAAACAAATGAACAAAAACGTTTCAACTAATAACAAGTATTACACAAAGAAAGAAAAATGCCCTCCCTGTGATTGCTGAGGCCTTGAGAGGCCGATGAGGACTACTTTCAATGGGATGATTCGTTGAGAAAGGCTTTTCTAAGAATAATTTGGGAGCTGAAAACTGTACCCTGGGACCTTCTAGGAGAAGCGCATGTGCAAGGCAAAATCCCTGAGGCTCCAGGCAGGAGCTGGGCGGACTCCAGGAGCAGCAAGGCCAGTGCACAGTGAGCGAGAGGGAGAGTGATAGGAGGGAGGACTCTGAGGGGACAGGGGACAGATCATAAGGGGTCTCGCAGGCCCTGGAGAGAAGTTTGGATTGTATTTTAAGGGCTGTGGGAAACCTTTGGTGGGCTTGAAGCCGGGAAGCATTGTTAAGCTTGAACTTGAACATGCACTCATATATGAGCAGTTGATCATTTTATAGTACAAATGGTAAGCAGACTGTGCCAGAGTATGGTGTGGACTTCCAGAGCAAGGGGGAGAAGACCTTGAAGGCCACAGAGGATGTGACAGCAACAGGGCTCCATCTCAGGCAGACCCTCCTCCCTTGCGCGTGGGGGTGGCGGCTGACTTTCTCCTCCTCTCAAAGTTTAGAAACAAGATCTAGGTTTTTCCACTGTCAGCCGCTTTGCAACTCTTCTGCTGTGTTATTTTGGTTTCAGAACTGACTTCAGGTATTTGTTCACCCCCAGCTCTATGGGGGGATCAAAGGATGGTTTCTGGAGTGTCCCCACACTCCCCTAACTGGTGGGTAATTCCTTCCTGAAGTAGAACGCTGACATGGTTTTGTGACCATTGATCCATTTGTCAGTGTCTATTGGAGTCAGTGTGTGCAGGGCCTGGGTGCATAGGGATGTCCATGTGCTCAGCCCCTAATCATTCATGACATAGATAGATGATGGATGGGTGGATCGATATATGCTGGGTAGATAAATATAGAGATAGAGATATATTGAGCACCTGCTATGTGCTCAGCACTGTTTTGGGCACTAGAGATACATTGATGAACAAGCCGAATTTTGTCCCTACTCTCATGGAGTTGATAGTGTTGAGCCAGGGAGAGAGATTAAATTAAAGATTGCAATACTGTACAAAAAAACTACAATGGGCAAACGCTGAGAGACGCACCTTAGTGGTGCCTCTAAGCAGGCAAGGCTTCCAAGTAGTGGTGACACCCTGGCTGAGGCCTAGATGATAAAGAAGAGCTGGTGGGGAAAGTAAGCAGACTGTACCAGAGAGAGGTGGGTGTGGACACAAGATGAGAGGCAAGAGTGAGCCCTTCTCAAGGAGGCGCTGAGAGTACTCCAGCATGGGGGGAGGGAGGGGAGGGGAGGGGAGAGCCTAGAGCAGGGGTGAGTGGAGGATGGGGAGAGGGACAGAAAGGAAGAGACCCAAAGGACCAGACCTTGTATGAAAGAGTGAGAGACCAGACTTAGGAACAATGAGATACTGAAAAGGATTGGGCTTAGAATCAGGTTTCTTCAGAAAAATCTCTAAGACTTTGAGGTGTAGCTTGAATCCTGCTCACTCATTTATTTCTTCAACCAACAACATCGTTTTAATTCCTATTGTGTCCCAGACCATGGGCTAAGTAGCAGGGGTCCTCGGGACCAGCCAGCTCCTGCTGATCCATAGGGTGGCCAGGATTTCACAACCCTGGGAGGGACAGTGCCCAGCAGAAATGTCACAGCAATCGCTACCTCTGCTGCCCTTAAGACCACTCTTTAGGCTGCAGTCTAAAGACGGAAACCTGAAGCAAGCTGTGGGCCTATGAAGGACAGGTATAAATAGTCCCATCTGGTTGGTGGTAGGCATTTGGCACATATGTATTGATGAGTGAGTGAGTGAATGAATGGGAGGCAATATATTGAAGAGTAGATAAGAGCACAGCCTTTGAAGTCAGACTTCCTGGGTCCCCCTGCTGGCTTTGCCCCTCACTGACCATAGCAAATTATTAAGCTGCTCTGAGCCTCAGTTTCCTCATCTGTAAAATGGGAATAATGTGGAGTTGGAAGTGAGTATGAAATGAGTGATGCATCCAAGCATTTAGCATTATGCCTGGCATAAGCTCCTGGTACCTATTGGCCATGCAGCTCCGTGTTCTGTGTAAGGAATGGACACAGTGACTCGAGGTGAGAACAAGGAGAAAATAAACCAGCTCCTGTCTGCACCTTAATGTGGAATCTTCTCAGGGTGTAGATGTCTATACCTTCCCCTGCCCTGACCTGCAGACACATTGGAGATGCTGGTCATGCAGAGGCCACAGAAGCAGCGCAAGCCTGGCAGTGTGCTCATTATCGGCTGCCAGCGTGTCCCACGCTGTCCTCAGAGCATAAATGAAAGCTCCTGGGGAGCAGAAGACCCTCATTTAATTTGATTTGAAACAGCAACAGAGCACATCAGGGATCTCTGCAGTTCATTCATTTGTTTGTCAAGTCGTTCACTTGACAAATACTGACGGAGCACCAAGCACAGTGCTAGGCACCACGAGAGAGCAGCGGACCCAGGTACAGGGATCTGAGCAGTTTGAGGACAATTCACGGGATCTTTCTGGCTGCTGGGTGGAGAAGAGATTGCAGGTGACAGAGTGGAAGGAGGGAAGGCAAGCGTGGATTCGTGGAGGACGAAAGCCACTGGCTGGCAGGAAGGATGGATTGTACAACCATCTCCCATCCCTGGGCTCCAGCTCAGCATGTGTTAGGGAGGCCAGAGCTCTATCTTCTGGGAAAGCCGTGTGAACTCGTGCAGGTGACAGGCGATGTCATAAGCTTCTTTTCTAGCTTATGACAGGGCAGCTCCAAAACCTGAGCTCTAGTCTCATTCAGAATAGTCACACTCAACAGAGGCACATGATCTGGAAAACCAAGGAGCAAAGCGGGATCCAGCTGGACCTGTTGAAAGGCAGGGTGTATGTTTTCTTGGAATGGCCTCAAGCAGGGATTCATTCATTCAGTGCATTTTTTCCCAAAACACCCACCAGGTGCCAGGCACTGGAGGCCCTAAGGTTTAGTGAACGGACCACAGGCCTTGTAATCCTCCAACCTGGATCCAAATACCAAATCTTCTGCTTACTTCCTGTCTGACCTTGAGCAAGTAACTTAATTGGAGCCTGAGTTTCCCCATTTCCTCATCTGTAAAATGGGTATATCCTGCCCAGCAAGCAGGATCCCAGGCCCTTCTGGGACCCAGCACCATAGCTCAGTGTCAGTGATTTCAGGACTCGCTCTCCTGTTTCAGGTCGGCACTGACTGGGATGCCAAGGAGCGGCTCTTCCGCAACTTTGGGGGTCTCCTGGGGCCCATGGACGAGCCGGTAGGCATGCAGAAGTGGGGGAAGGGCCCCAACGTGACCGTGACCGTCATCTGGGTGGATCCCGTCAACGTCATCGCAGCCACCTACGACATCCTGATTGAGTCCACGGCCGAATTTACCCACTACAAGCCCCCTTTGAACTTGCCCCTGCGGCCTGGGGTCTGGACAGTGAAAATTCTCCACCACTGGGTGCCAGTCGCAGAGACCAAATTCCTCGTCGCACCTCTGACCTTCTCCAACAGGCAGCCCATCAAACCGGGTGAGTAGTCCCCGTGTCTCTGCTGGGAGTCCAGGGTCGGGGGGTGGGGGGGATATGCCATCCCCAGGGATCTCATGGGTCCATCGCCTGGGCAGTGGTGCTGCCCAGATGTGGGGAGAGGGGGCCACTTTCGAGAACCATGCTCTCTGCTCTCAGTAGTTGCTTTTCTGCCTGCACATGGAGGTGACGTCCTCAGTCTATGACTTAGATAACTTTTTATTAGATGCTCTCCCACTGGGCTCCCAGAGGCTCTGATCATATTTAAGACAGGATGGAAAATAAGCCCAGGCAGATATTGAGTTTTAGCAAATCTTGTTCATTGTGTAAAAAAATATTAATTAAAACAGGAAATCCTGTTCATCAAAAATATGATACACTAGGTCAGCGCTTTTTCAACCGGCGTGCCACAAGAATTTTTAAAGCAATGCAATACCTGACTATTTACTCAGGGGCACTGACCTCTTTCCCCTTAGATTGTCAAGTAAAACAATGACAACAGCCAACACAACAGTAGCCGCCTGGTATTGTCTCCATCTAACAGGTCGCAGACCCAGAAGCCAGAAACAATTGCAGCCTCTGGTAGCTAAGCGTTCTGAGCTGGGTGCCATTTAGCCAGTGACACAGGAGAGGGGACATAGATACGGGGAGGGGAGGGGCGGAGTCCTATAAAAAGGGAGTGTTGAAGGGATTCTATCGACTTTGCTAAGTTTCTGTGCTGAGCAAGCAGACAGGTAGAGCCCTCAGGTTTTCTCAAGATGGAATTCTGCTTCTCCACTCCCCTTGGAAAGAGACAAAAGCTCCCAGAACTGTCTGGGCCAGCGCACAGTCCTGAGGGCCCCCAGGGTCCCGGATCAGGTTCACGTCCTTGGCATCCCTCGGGATCTTCACAGCCAGGTGTGGAGGGGAACACTGGAAAGGGCAGTCCAGACCTCTGTGGCAGATGCGCCTGCTGGACAGAACAAGGGGGTAGTCCTGACTCCATCCACCTCAGCAAACAGCCCGGGCCCTTCACTGGGGCCTGAGTTTCCCAATGTTTTTCTCCTGGAGGCTCTTCCCACCCGTGCCCAGCATGAGCCGGGGGTCACTGTACCCCACTGGGAGCAATGCCCCATCGTCATCGTTGGTAATTGTATCTGTTAACGATGTTCCAACGACAGGGAACACGAAGGAGGGAGCCGTGCAATTTGTAAAATGATTCATCAAGAGTAATTTGCTATTGATGCGTCCCTAGTAATCTCAAGAAATCTGATGAGGTGGAATTGAGGAAAATTTAATTATAGAGGTGAGCACTGGAGGCTGATGCTATAAGAGCACATCCCACGTCAGCCTCACTGTTCATAGGGTTTTCTGCATCAACCGCAATGTTTGGTGTTAGATGTGTGAGCGGCTCTCTTCGCTCTGCAGGCTGGCGTGTTGTGGGTTTGGTGTGCCCCGTCTCCCCATCTGCAGGATGGAGGCCTGGAGAGGCTCGAGTAGAGAAATCAGATCCGCATCAGAGAGAACAGCCTCTGTTCTCCTGGCGAATGACACAGGAGCTGCCTGCCCTCTGCCAGCATCCAGGAGCGGTGGGCTAGGGTGACTGACACACCCCGGGCTTACCTAACGTGAAAGGGAGAAGCGCCGCTAACTCACAGCAGGACGGGATATGTGCTCACGCCCGCTGGTCTCTTCTCTCCCACTTGCTCCTCCGAACTATAGAGCCTGGCCCGTCAGCTTCCTGAAGCATTAGGAATGGAAGGAATGACTTTCTTCTCTGTGTTAGTCAAGGCATATTTTTAATTCAACTGGGTTTTCCATTGCGTTTATAGGGTGTGCCCCCAAACTGTATACACACACTCGGAATAATCATAAAGGCAGTGTTTATTAAAATGCATTCATTTTAAAAATTGAGCTGTCAGCTGTGAAAGTGTGTATACATTTTGCGGGACGCCCTGTATATGGTCTTTCTTCCTCCTCCTTCCCCACTCAAGACCACGCTTGTTAGAAAATAACCTGCCAACTATTAGGGTGTCCTGGTTGCCGCCGAGGGTGATGGGCACTGTCCAGCAAGCAGGAAGGGTTATGTTCTGAACGCCACTTAGTCTTACAAGGAGGTTTCTTCTAATCCTTTCTTCTAATTCTCATCAGAATCATTAGTCGGTATTTTTAAATATATATATTCTTGTGTTTGACAATAAGCAACGAGTGGGAGCTCCTTCAAAATAGGAACAACTCACTTCTTTCCTTCAGCCCAGATGGCTGCCCTTTCTGCTTCCCCGTCGCTAAGTGCCTCTGGTTTATACGTCACGTGACTGTTGACAAAGCGCATGCACTTCCATCAGAGCCTCTTGCCAGCCCAGCGGGTCCAGTTGGTGCAAGGACGAGTGTCCCCATTTTACAGGTGGGGAAACCAAGTCTTTGAAAGACTGACTCCGAGATGGAAAAACAAACAAACAAAAATCAAAAACAAAACTGCTTTAGCTTCCAGCCTTCAGTAGATTATCAGGACAAACACCGGCTTTGGAGTCAGCCAGTCTTAGACTTAACCCCAGATCTGTCTCTAGCACAGTTGCCTCTGTTTCCCCATCTATAAAATGGGTAGAATAACACCAGCCCAATAGTTGTGCATGTGTGTATTGTGTACTAATAATACCAACATATATTAGTTGAATAGTCATTCAAGCTCAACCTTTCCAAGCACTTGGTATATTCTGATTGCCATTGTACGCACTTTGGGTGAGTCAGTACATTTCGTCATCATGAAGCTGTGAGGAAGGTATTAGTACTCCACCCATTTTACTGATGGGCAAACTGAGGCACTGGGCTTTGAAGTCAGAAGTCACACCCCTGGTATGTGGGACGTGGGGATTCAGACCCAGATGGTCTGCCTGCAGTCCCTGTGCTCTGCCCAAGGCGTGGTTGCTCAGCAAGGCGGAGCTGCTGGGAGAGTCAGTGGGACCTCCCATCCCACTCTGGTCCAAGCGTCTGCTCTCCAGGATACTTCCCAGTGGTCTGTTCATGCTCCAACCCCGTCCGGGACAAAGCAGAAGCCCGTGGCTTATAGAGAGTTCACGGCGGGCACTCGGCAGCCAAGAGCAGGGCTCCTCACCAGGCTCTCAGATCATTAGACCCCGTTCAAACCCCGGCTCCAACTCCCATTACCTATGTGATTTGGGAAAAGATGCTTAATAAGGCTTTGTGCTCACTGTTCCCTCTGCCCAGAATTCTCTTTTCCAGGATCTGTATGTGGCTTTTTTGTTCCTTCACATTAATCACCTCTCAGCTCAGATGTCACCTCTTCAACAAGGCCTCCCTTGCTCACCTCATCTAAAATAAATACCCTGGTAACTCTAACCCAGGGATCAGAAGGCTTTTGCTGTCAAGGGCTGGATAGTAAATATATGCAGGTTTGGGGGCCACTTACAATCTCTGTCTCAACCACTCAGTTCTGCTGTGGTAGCACAGAAGCAACCACAGACAATATCTACCCAAATGGGCATAGCCATGTTCCAATAAAATGTTATTTAGAACAACGGGTGGGGGGCCATAAGGAGACAGCCTCCTCATGAGGCTGTCCTGTGAATTAAGTGGTGCCACCCCGGTGCCCAGCGTGGTGCCAGGCACACAGCAGGTGCCAGGTTCATGGCTCTTCTAATGATGTGATGGTTCCCTTGGCTTTCAGAGGAGGCGCTAAAGCTGCACAACGGACCCCCCCGTGGCACCTACATGGAGCAGAGCTTCCAGAGCCTGAACCCCGTCCTCAGCCTGCCCGTCAGCCCGGCCCAGGTGGAGCAGGCTCGGAGGAACGCGGCCTCCACCGGCGCTGCGCTGGAGCGCTGGCTGGACTCGCTGGTGGGCAGCATGTGGACCGCCATGGACATCTGCGCCACCGGCCCCACCGCCTGCCCAGTCATGCAGACCTGCAGCCAGACGGCCTGGAGTTCCTTCAGCCCGGACCCCAAGTCGGAGCTGGGGGCAGTCAAACCCGACGGCCGGCTCAGGTAGCACTGGGCGTGGGTGGGCCGCAGCGGATGTCAAAGGGAACACAGCCAGAGGGCCTCCCACCCTGGGGGTGCCTTTTGTGGGAGGGGCTCTCCTGGCCATAGAATGATGGAGAAGGAGGTTCTGAGGCCAAAGCAGGGTCTGCCGATGACCTGCATTTGGCAAGCTGGCTCCTGGGGGTGTGGTCTTACCTCTTCCGGCTGGTCCTCGAGTCCTACAGGGTCCTTGTCTTCCCCTCCAGTGACCAAGCCCCCAGACGAGTGATTCTCAGACTTTTCCTTTGAGCAGCAGAACTTTGTTTACGAAGCGCAGTGGTGGGTGGAGTTCCAGGTGCAGGTGAAATCCAGGCTGCTCTGGGCGAAGCTAGGGCGAGGGGGGTTCTTCCTCAACGCTCGGCCCACAGGGCGGTCCCTTCGCCAAGGGCATCTCCTAAGGTACCTCTTCAGAACCCAAGGGCTCTGCAAAACCCAGTTTGAAAAGCACTGCCCAGACGGTGGGTTTGATCGCCAGTCCCACCCTTCGGCTCCTCTTCCCGCTCCTCTGGCCCAGGAAACCCTGTGCTAGCGCTGAAATGACAAGTCACTGAAACCATGCTCACGGGCCCTCCCCAGGGAGGCAGCAGGCCCAGGACGGCTCCAGGCCTCCCACCAGCCCTTCTTAGTCACTACACAAGCAGGGAAGCCTGTGTGTGACATGGCCACGGTCCAGCAAGGTGTGACTGCCAACTGTCCTGGGTTCCATGCCCCCTCCCTCGAGGGAAAATGGGCTGATGAACATCACGTCTCCAGCCATTCATGGGCCAGGAGACCATGACCTTGTTGATCCTTGACAGTGGGAACACTAGGGCCCACCCATGGCCATGAAACTCCTACAGATGGTTTGGAGCAAAACTCCTGAGCTAGACAGCACAGCAATATCCGTCCCCGGCCTGAGCCTTTCCATTCTGAGGTCAGTGCCCCCCCCCCACCCCCCCGCCCCCCAAACATTTGGGAATCGCACAGTCGGTGCTGTTGGGAGTGACCAAACCAGACTTTTCACGTCCAGGAAAAAGCATTTCCGATTCGGTTTTTAAATCCATGCCCTTCTTTATCCCAGGCGACATGCCGTGTAAACATGGGACGCTTGAGTGTCTGCTTGTTTAAAACCTAAACAATAATATTATTCCAACGGCCTGAGCTCCCAGACGCCTGGAGGGTTTCCTTGCCATGTGCCCCGTGGAGGGTCCCCTGCTCCTCTGAGAGCCCCTCGCAGGAGGCTCGCTTCCTCCTCTTACCCCACCTCCCCCAGAGGACAGGGTTCCCTTGGACAAGTCCCACCCCTGGTTGCAAACCGCCCTTCCTGGGGAGCCAGTTCCTGGTGTGACCCCCAGTGTGACTATGAAGGTACTGCAGTTCACTCCGATGACCTTTCAGCTGTTGCCCCGTAACCACCCATCCCCCACCCAGCAAGGCAGGATGTCCTATGGGCAATGGAGGGTATAGAGAAAGGACACTTTAGATATTTATTATTTATATGTTTTAGTCAATGACTAATGAGTAGGTGCTGTTTTTGCAGCTTGTCAATTATGTTATCTTACTAACTGAAGCTGCCTTTATTCACAAAAGGCGCCCCAGCCCTCCCCTTCCCTGTACTTCCCTCTGCATCTCCTAGTGTCTCTCTCTGTTTCTATGCGTGTGTGAGTGTGCGTGTGCGTCTGCCCTCCATTCTCCGTGTCCTCAGCAGGGGTGTCGGACAGCATGAGGTGAGCGCTTCATTCAGCATCATGCACTGGCTGAAAGGGGTGACCTTGGGAACGTTGGAGCCTCACTTTTCCTTATGCAGGGTGTTAGCTTCATGTAGCCCCTCCCGTTTCTGGGGGAGTTGGAATTCCTGAGCCATCCCCACTCCCGCCCCAGGCACAGGACAGGCCGAGCACCTGTGGCGGGAGAGTGTGCCGACCACAGAGCTCGACCGTCCTGCTTCCTCCTGACTCACCTCCCTCGGCCAGTCTGACCACGCGCTTCCATGTAACATGACAGATGCACAGGGAAACGGCTGCTCCGAGCCTGGGAGGAAAAGACATCCATGTCAGGAAGAGGGTAGGTGGTTGGATGGCGCCAGGAGTGGCCACTGTCAACAGTGGTCCTCGGGACCTCAGAGTGGCTTTCTCAGAAAGCCCCTGTAATCTCTAAATGCTCTTACAAGCTGTGGGAGGCCTGTGCCACATCCTCTCTCTGCCCCCAGCTTCTGCCTCTGGCCAGTGTCCCTACACCTGTCCGAGCTGCCCAGGGAGCCTCCCTCCTCCCTCCTCACCAGGCCACGAGGACGTGGGTGTTTCCCACAGTGTCAGTGGCTGCGACGGTGCAGCCCCGGCAGGTCCCTGTATGGAGTGTGCCCGCAGGCTCCTGCACCTGCTGACGTGGCTGCCTCTTGTTCCCGCCCTGAAACAGGTGGGCCAGAGCTGGCTTATTCTGGGGACACCCACACCCCATCCTTGTCCTCGGCTTCAGTCACCTCTCCCTGCAGTGAATTCTGGGACACAGAAATCATCTGGCTGTTTCTTAATGTCTTTTGTTTCTGGACAGAGAATAACTTTGCAGATGTTACATTTGGGGGAAAAAGGGAGAGAGAAAAAGAGAGAGAGAGAGAGAGAGAGAGAGAGAGAGAGAGAGAGAGAGAGAGAGAGAATTCCAAACAAAGCCCAGGATGATTTGAGAAAAAGTGGTCTTTTCCAGGGAAAATGGTTTAACTCATTCTTTAATCTGCCTGAGCATGGTTTATTGGCCAGGCAGCCTTCAGCCATGGTGCCCGAAGGCGTTTGTTAAAAGCATGAGGCCGAGGTCTCCGGAAGCCCTCTTCAGGCTGCGGCACAGTGGCTGGGGGTCGCCACCGCTGGGTCCCGGGACTGCAGGAAAGCTGGAAGGGGGGACAGGGTCCGCTTGGGGCAGAGGGAAGCAGTCGGTAGGCTGTGGCCCTCGGCACGGTTTCCCAGCCAGTCCCGTGGCGTGCAGGCCTCCTCTCTCCCTCCTCACCAGGCCGCGAGGACTCGGTGTTCCCCACCGTGTCATTTGAACCGCTGAGGTCCCTAGAACCACTCTCCCTCCTAGTGGCCTGGTGAGGAGGGAGCTAGAGTATAGGAGACAGAAAGCCCTCCCAAGTCCCACCGCCCAGGCCTTGCACGAAGCACTGTCTCAGGGCTGGGCCAGGGCTAGGAGAGCGGCGAGCAATTCCCAGGGCCCCCCATGTTTAACAAATGCACCCATTCCTTCCTCTGGAGCAAGGCCTTTCTGCTCAGATCCGGGGTCATTCTGACTTCATTTCCCGTTGTTGGCTGAACTTCTGAAAATGCAAGTGGCCTTGAGAGAGGCTGAGCACGGAAGGCCACACAAGCCCATGAAAGGTGCAGATCGCAGCTACTCTGGGCCCTGGCCCGTGTCGTGTGGTCTGTGCTTCCCCTGGTTCTCTAGTTTCCAGGTTCAAGAAGGTCACAGGCTAGAACCTGGGTCTCTTTGCCGAGAAGGTGCAGAATAGAGGAGAGCAGTGGCTGCTGGGTATTGGGTGGGACAAAGACCCCTTTCCCAAGCCACGTTCCCTGGGAACTCAGGACACAAGCTCCCCAGCAGCATCCAAGGCGGAGACACTGGAAAAGCTGTTGGCGAAGGCCTGCCGGGCACCCTATGGCCGCGGCCACAGCTATCCGGGGGGTCCGGGACCCTAGCAGTTGGTGTGACAGTGTAGGGAGTGGCGGGGTCTGCTGGCGGCACATGGCCCCTCCAAAAAGAGCAGCAGCTCCCCAGCCCCAGCCTGTCGGCGCCTGTGAGAATGCAGGGGCCGCTCAGCAGAACCTTCCACTTTGGAAAAGGAAGCCAGAAACCCAGACTTCAATAGGAAATCTGATTTTTAAATGTTGGCCATTTTTTTTTAACATAGGATGGGCACAGAGAAATTCCACAGCTCGGCCTGTGCACCTGGCTCTGCAGAAGTGGGTGAAAAGGAGGTCACCCCAGGGAGGTGGGGGAAGCCAGCATTAAGAAAAGGGCAAGCGTAGTGGCTCCTGTTGAAAGCTGAAGGGAACAGGAATCTCTCCCTAATCATTCCCGTCCCAAAGACGGTCCCACCAAGGAGGTGTCTGGGAGAACTGGCTGGTCCTGCTCTCCTGATCCCCACAGTTTGTGCTGAAGGGAAGGAGGGACACCATCTGGAGACCCCAACGGTTGCCCCTAGACCCGAGGAGGTCCACACCTTCCGGAATGCCACCAGGCCCAGGCGGAGGGGTCAGGGACGGGGGCCAGGAAGAGGGGGTGGCGTGGGAAACAGCCCGGCTCGCTCCAAATCCCAGGTTTTAGCAGCCAGCTTGCTGCACATCTGGAAGCTTCCCAGGAAGCCCTGCTGGAGCTGAGCTCACTCCCAGGAAGTCCTCCCAGCCTCTGCCTCAGTTACCTTACTTTGCCCATGGGTCTACCACAGGCGCTACCTCACTGTGTCTGCTGAGAAGTTTACCTGGGGGGAATGAAGGTGGCCAGATCTGCTTGGGCTGAATGTACAATCTATGCAAATTCTCTGTTTCTCTCTCTTTCTCTCTGAAGTTTTATTATTCTTTACCCTGCAAACAAAATACTGTATAGACCCCTCTTAAGACTGAGGAGGGCTTTCTTGCGCCACCTGTGTCCGCCCCTCATGTTGTCTTTGGTTCTGTCTTTGCCCCGCCCCATGCAGGGAGCACGTGGCCCTCCCTCCCCCCCTCCCCCTCCTCTCAGCTGGAGTTCTCCAGCTGCCTCTGCCCACCACCACCTCCATTCCTAATTCATCTTCTCCACTCCACGCTTTCTTCTGACTTGTGTATCTTCTCCCCATCCCCACCCCCAAAAAGCCTTAGGTTCTCCTTTTTTGAAATGTGGCCTTAAAATTATTTTTGGAAAGCTGACCGCCCTCTCCCTCCCATTGCCACCCTCATCCCAGAAGAAAGAGCCTCTTGAAGCTTTCTTTCTTGGAAACTTCCTAAGCAAGGGGCGGCCAATCTGTAGTTTGCAGATGCTTAGAAGTTGCTAATAACTGTCGTCTTTAGGAAAACTATTCGTAAGCGTTTCCCATGGGTGAAATGAAGGCTTGGGTGCTCACCTCCACCTCAGCCAGCTCCTGCAGCTCTCTCTCCCGCCCAGCGCCCTGTGATGAGCGGGCTGGCTCCATTACCCGCCAAGTGCTAAATCCAGCTTTCCAACCCTCCCCTTCCCAAAGACGCCATGACTTACCTACTTCAGTCAAGGGTGAATCAGGAGAGTTTCCCAATTTATCTCTTCGTCCTTCCTGCCTGGAAAGAGATAGCATTAATATTCCCAGCTGCTGGGCCGTGTTCTCCAAGGGGCAACACTCTCCCTACATCCAGAGCCCCTCCTCTTCCCTTCCATCGCTCCAGGGCTGATGGAGGCCAAAGACAACCCAGGGTTTTCATAGGAAATTCACTGGAATTGCGCGCAATCGTCTTTGTAGTCCTTCCTTTTTTTTTTTTTTTTACTCTTAATAGTATTATGTTGTCAGTAGCGTTGGGTATTTTTTTAGAGGCCTCACAATAAGTTATTACCGTTCCCCCTTCATTTTTTTCCCCCGAAGACATGTGGTGATATAGTTTTTAAAAATAACTATTTTGTTATAGATCATAATATGCATAAAACTGTACAGAAATATTTTGTAATGTATTGATTTTTTTAAAAAGAGAGAATCTGTAAATAGAGTTTTAAAAAAAGAGAGAATTCAAACGGCACACACTGAAAGATGTAGATATTTTGCTATTTATTTAAAGGAGTATTTTAAGAGATACTGAACTATCTGAAATTGACCAGAA